GTATAATAATACTAGTGGCCTGATGTATTAATCTGTGCACACTGAAAGAAAATTAATTAGAAGAAATATTTTAATATCACTATTCGCCTTTCTCTATGATAGAGGTGTAAACCAAATTCATGATCGACAATGAGAGATCGAAACAGATGCGTGCAATTGGTCCCCCCCCCAGCCCTCCCTCCACCCCCTGAGGGAGCCCAGGCCAGGCTCTGGCTTTAGATGCTGGAATCCTGCCAGCCCCCATCTCTTTAAGCCAATGGTCGCCAACCGGTGGTCTGTGAGGTCCAAAAGGTTGGTGGCCGCTGGTTTACGCTGCAATTCCAACAAGCGAGTCAAGAATGTTCCAGATGGGAAAAGGAAATAAGGTCAAGAGCTCTGGCTCTGAGTGGAACGGCCGAGGCCTGTGGTTATGGGGGGTAGGTGGGTGCATGGGGGCAAGGGGCAGGGTTTGGGGAGCAATGCTAAGGAAAGCGCCTCTCCCCACCTCCCCGCACTGTCCAAGCGGGGCCAGGCCAGGCGGCTTTAGACCCTGAGGACCGTGTCCACACCTGGCTTTGGCGCCGGATCTCCGGGATCTCCGTGTAGGGGCTGGCGGAGGGCTTGGGGCTGGCTCGAGGCCCAGGGGATGCTGTGAGGTTGACCACAGCGTACTCCGGGGCCTGGTGGTTCTGAAACAGAGACTTGGTCAGAACAGCCTATTCGTGGCAGCAGGGATGGTCTGTGGAAGGAAAGGCGGGAGGGCTGGGCAAGGGGAGAGCATGGGCTGTGAAGTCACAGTCCCTGCGTCCCGTTTCCTCTGTCGCAGTGGGACCTTGGGCAAGACACCTAACCTTCCCAAGACTCAGTTTCCCAAGCTGTAAAATGGGGATAAGAATGTTTCCCTCAGGGTCATAATGACTCTTCATGATAATGTTCTATCACTCAGCAACGGGGGACTCCTGCAACGATGAATTTGTGTCCATGGCTGTTATTTCTAGCTTTGGCTGCAGGTTCTTTGCAACAGGCTCAGAGAGCACAGAATCGGACAGCTCAAAGATTCACCCAGTAACAAACAGCACGAGAAGAATTCTCCAGAGATCGTAAGTCTGAGCAGCCCCTCCTGGATCAGATGAGGAAACCGAGGCCCGGGGAAGAGAGGTGGGCGGTCCAGAGGAGACGGGGACTCCCCAACACGTTCACATGGAGAGATGGGCGAGTTACATAACCTCGCTAAGCCCCGGTCTTCCCCTCTGACAGGGCTGGAGTTGGGAAAGTGTGAGATGAGACCATCCAGAAAGCGGGAGCTCCTCACTTTGGCTTCAGGGCCCATCAGGCCATGAGACTCCTGGCCAGGCAACTCAGGACAGCTGTGCCCCTGAGAGGCTTGGCCGGGGCCTCGGCCAGCTCCAGCCTGTGCTCTGCCCAGCGGCTAGGACCCGGGAGCAGGAAGTGGAGGGGCCTGGCATCCCAACCTGAGGACCCAAGGATATTTTTTCCATCGATTCTCAGAGAGAGAGAGAGTGGACCAGAGCGGGAGAGACAGAGAAAGAGAGAAACATCAATGTGAGAGACACGTTGATTGCAAAACTGAGACCTTCGGTCCTCTGGCTGATGCTCTGAGCACTGAGGAAAACCGCCAGGGCAAACCTCCAACCCTTCAACTCCACCTCCAGAGTCCGCTCAAAACGACAGAAGCCAGAGAAAAGCAGAAGTTTTCAGCTGGTCCCATTCACAGGATCTGGCCTCCGACCCTCTTGGGAGACCTGTTCCATCCTCCTAACAAAGCCCCCACCCCAGCTCCTCTGCTCATGGCCCAGCGCCCCTCCTACAGGTGCAGGGGCAGGAGGCAGAGTGGGCAGCCTTCCCAGTGAGGGCTGGACAGCAGCAGAGCAGGGACCGGCCTGGGGCAGGCTCTCCCCACAGCAGGGGAGGGAGGGGGGTCCTCTCTCCTCCCCAGCTCCTCTCAGGCATTGGGTTGGGAGTGAGCCCCAGGAGGAATAGCCTGGAGGCCGGGCTCCGAAAGTGGCCAGTGGCAGCCCCTGTCCATCTCCTTGACCTTTCCCTCACTCCTGCCCACCACCTTTAGCCTTGTAGAGTTTCCTGAGACCCCCGCCCCGGCCCCTCCCAAGAGGGATCAGGCCTGAGGCTTTTGTCTTTGCTGGCGCCAGGAAAGAAGGCGGAGTAGCCCCTTTCCTGCCCCCAAGTTTAGGGAATCAGAGTGGAGGCATCTCAGTAAACAGCCGAAGGAGGAGGGGGTGGGTGAGGCAGGTGGGGCTTCAGTTTCCTGAACCCGTGATTGCGCAGCCCTCTCCTTCCGTGGAAAGGGCCGTTCTCTTGGCAAGGGTCAGGGAAGGGCCAGGGCAGGTTCCCCTCTCCAGGAAGATGGGCTAGTTACCCCCATTCCTTCTTCCCCTTGGCTCCCAGAGCACCACCTTCAGGCTGTGTCTCAGAGCCAAGAAAATGCTCAGAGAAAACAGTAGGGTGTTCTGAAAAGAGGAGAGATGGGAGATGAGAAATCTGGGTCCAGTTCTCTGTTTGGGCCACCACTTGCTGTGTGACCTTGGGCAAGATGTTGACCCTCTCTGGGCCTCAGTTTCCTCTTCTGCAAAAGCAGACTGGAGCCTGTAGTTGTCATACTCTGGTGTGCCGTCAGAATCCACGGGGCCCTACCCCCTTAGAGGTTGCAGGTGGGAGAGGATATTTTTTCTGACACCACCTGCCCACCAACTCCAGGAGTTCTGAAAGGGGGTGTGCACCCAACTTAGAGGAAGTTCTGGACTAGATGATCTCGAAGGCCCGTTCCGGATCCAGCTCCAATCTTCTCTGATTAGAAAAAGGGGAGGAGAGGAGGGTGCTGGGCTTGGGGAAGAACCCTGCCTGGCCCCGGGGGAGGAAGAAAGCTGTCAGCTCACAGCCTGAAGGGCTCGTCTTGGGGCTCAGAGATTCCCTGGAGGTGGGAAGCTATTCCCACCTTGAGGTCAGCCATGGAGGACCAGGTAGATGTGGAGTCAGAGCACTGCAGAGCCTGAGGGTCCAAGCTTGGCCTCTGTCTGCCTCCTGACTTACCAAGTGTGAGAGGTGGACCTTCTCATTCTGTGTCTCCGTGTCCAGTTGAACTGAAAGAGATCAGAAGGAGCACCTTGAGGCCAGGAGTAGCCAGGAGTAGCCTGCAGCTGCTCCCACAGAGGTGGACTGGCCTCCCTGCATCTTTGGGCAGGGGCTTCCTAGAGGGAGTTGGCAGGCAGGTTGGGCAGAAATGCCCCTTCTAGCTCAGCCCCTTGGCAATGAGTGGGCCTTTGTAGATCAGTACACGGACGTCTCCTCATGTGGGCCAGAGCCAGGCTGGGGAGGTGAAATTCTGTGTGCTAAAGCCATTGCTTCTTTTTTGAATCCTCACCCAAAGAGTGAGAATACTTTTTCCATTGATATTTAGAGAAAGTGGGAAGGATGGGGGAGGGGAAGAGAGAGACACATCAATGTGTTAGAGACCGTCGATTGGTTGCCTCCTGCCCACACCACAACCGGGGATGGGGATTGAACTTGCAACCATAGTATGTGCCCTTGACCAGGAATTGAATCAGAGACCCTTCGGTTCATGGGCTGACACTCTAACCACTGAGCAAACCAGCCAGGGCTAAAATCATTCTTAAACCTCAGTGTGCCTACAGGGCCCCAGGAAATGTCATCAAATGCAGATTCTAATTCAATAGACTGGCCTTGGAGCCTAAGAGTCGGCACTGCTACCAGGCGACCAAGAGAGGTCACAGCTGCTGGCTGGGGCCCACAATTGGAGAGGCAAAATGCTAAGAGGTTCTGAGGCTGTGGCCAGGAATGCTCCCACCTGTATGTTCCTCCCTGACTCCTCTGTGGGGATTTGGGGACATGGGCAGAGGTGACATTTCTTCCTGGGGCCGCACAGGGAGGAGCTGGGAGGCAAGCCCAGGATGTCCCCTTGGCCTGTGGCCATCTGCACAGGGACAACACTGCCAATTTGCAAAGTGCTTTCCCAAACATCTTCCTGTCTCCACTGCTTCCCAGCTATGCAAGCACAGGGCCTCAGTCTCTTTCACTTTATAATGGATTTTTTTTTATGGGAGTGCTTGCAATAAGTAGTTCCTAACTCCACCGTATTGAGGAGATTAAAGGAGATAAAAGCAACATAAGCTACACACCCATGCCTGGCACCTGGTAGCTTCTATTACTGCTATTTCAGTTATTATCTGTGCGGTCCAGCCCAGGAGCCACGGGCCACACATGGTCCCTGAGCGCTGGAAATGTGACTCCGAATTACACCGGGTTTCAAAGACTCAATATGAAAAAATGAATGTAGAATATATATCATTAACATTTTTATCTTGTTTCCATGCTGAAATGACCGTATTTTGGTTATAGCGTGTTAAAGAAAGTATGTGATTAAAATTAACTTCACTAGTTTATTGTTTTCATGTGACTATTAGAAGAATTGCAAAGTAGATATGTGGCTTGTATAATATTTCTTCGGGACATAGATCTGTGATCTGAAGAAGCCGGGGCTCAGGGAAGTTAGATGAGTCCCCCCGGGTCTCACAGCTAAAAAGATGGGAGACCCGGGATTTGAAGCCACGCCTCCACAGAAGCCAGCACCTTTAGACCCAGCGGCCACAATGTATGTCACGCTCAAGTTCAAGTGCTGGGTCCAGCCTTCCCCCCTATAGTCACACAGGAGCCGGACCGGCAGAGACTGAACATGGATTCTCTGGGAAGACATATTTGGCACCAGGGACCAAACATCTAGTCAGTCCCAAAGGGCCCCAATCTCCACTGCCAGCCCCTGGAGACACGTTCAGCTGGGTCTGCACTTGCCAGCAGTTACCCGGATGTCAGTAACTGTGTGCAATTACGTACGAACCCCCAAGAACAATAGGGAGGGAAGCGCCTGATGACCTCGGGTGGACATGAGCAAGCCAAGTGCCCGCTCTCACTCTCACTCCCCCATTTGAATGACCTTTTTCCTCATGCCGGTGGCCCTGTGGCTCCCTCAGAAAGGACTCGTGATGCCCGTATTTCAGACAGACACACTGAGCCACAGGCTTCTCTGGGGTGATGGTGGGAACGGCTGGTCTCAGCGAGGTCCCCGGCTGAAAGCCTCCCACCCACTCCCGTCTACCCGTGCTCACCTTCCTTCCTGCACCGGAGCACGCACCTGCCGACGACAGCCAGGCCTGCGGCCAGCAGGAGGACCAGCAGCACTAGGACCGGCGCCAGGATGTGGGCCTTTGAGGGGGACGCCCTGCAGAAGGCGCCCAGGGGCTGTCACCAGCCAGCGGCAGCATGGGGTGCACCCGACATTCCTATTCTGAGTCCCAGCCATGTCCCTTGTTTTTCCCAAGGAGATCAGAGGGCACCAGGGACCAAACACTAGTCAGTCCCAAAGGACCCCAATCTCCACGGCCCACCCCCGGCGACACTTCAGCTGGGTCTGCACTTGCCAGCAGTTACCCGATGTCCGTAACTGCGTGCAACGATGCATGAACCCCCAAGAACAATCCTTCAGGCTTGGACTCCAGTTGGGTGGGAAAGATGTTTTTGCTCCCTATTTTCATGCTTGGCACAGGGCCCAATGCAAAGTGTACAGGCAAAAGCTACTGCACTGGGGTGGCTTCCCTGAGGCCGGGGCAGGGAGAGGGGTGGGCCCTTCACCTGGGGTGGGACTACGTGTCCAGGGCAACAGGGCTGCTGGCCCCTGGAGGGCAGGTGGCTCACTGCTCAAGGGCCCTACTGAGGGGGGAGTAAATCTGCCCTCACTGCCTCCAGCTGTGGCCGTGGCCGGAGGCTGTCTTCACCTGGAGGAAGGAATGTCAGGTTCTTTGCTCACAGGCTCCTTCTGGTTTGGGGATGGCCTGCTAGGTGACCTTGGTCCCCTGGAGCTCACCTGGACATGGGGTCTTCCGTCGAGGTGGAGTCCAGGTACGTGGCCCCGCCTAGGCTCTCCTGTGGCTTCTCCTATGCCCTTCCTGGTCTCACTGTCCTATGTGTGTTTTTGCTGCCGGTTTGGGGATGGCCTGCTAGGTGACCTTGGTCCCCTGGAGCTCACCTGGACATGGGGTCTTCCGTCGAGGTGGAGTCCAGGTACGTGGAAGGCCGAGAGGTCCCTGCATGAGGAGAGGTGGCTCTGTGAAGGGGGGGCTCTTCGTTCGGAGAGGTCCCTGCGTACGGAGAGGTTCCTGTGTATAGAGAGGGTCCTGCGGGCTCGGGCGGGGACGTCCCTGTGAATGGAGAGGCCGCGGCCTCTGTCTTCCCCTGCGTGGTGACTGTCGGGTGGAAACCAGGAGAAGCTACAAGTCCAAAAGCAATGCCTCAGCACCTTCCCTGCCCCTGCATCCCATCCCCAGAGCCTTGACCCCTGACCCCTCCCGTCTCCTCCCCTCCCCTCCCCGGGACCAGTTTCTCAGAACACCCCCAGGTAAAGGGCACCCCAGGAAGCAAACAGAGGCCCAGCTAAAGCCGTGTTGAGCAAGCCCCACACCTGTGCGCAGTCTCCAGCCTTTTTTGTGCCCGCGGCCTGTTCTCTGTGGGGAGGCGCACACTCCACCCCCACCTCCAAGACCCAGTCTAGTGACCACTCGGTAGATGCCTTCCTGCCCTCCCCCTACAGTCCTGGCCAATTGTCACCTCTGCTCTCACCTGAAAGTCCTCATGTCACCATCACTTGCCCACCCCCACCACCTAGGTCTCAATCGTCCTTGATCTCCTGCAGGGTGGTAAGGACAGGCCCAGAGGCCAGGCCAAAGGCCCAGCCTCTCCTGTGCACCCCTCAGACCCCCTAGAACACGGGGAAGCTCTGCCCGCAGGCTGTATCTGCTTCCTGGCTCTGCTGCTTCCTGTGTGACCTTGATTGAGCCAATGGCCTAACCGTGCGGAGCCTCCCATGGCTCAGCTGACAATCCAGCTCCCAGGATGTGGGGCCGCATAGCGCAGTGTCCGACACCAGGCCGGCACCCACTGGCTGTTTCTCTACAAAGGGGCCGAAGAGGGGCAGAAACCCATGCACTCACTCGCTGCTGGGGGCTGGGTTTGCCAAGCTTTGGCCTTGGGCTGGAGGCTTGTAGCAAGAGACTGGAAGGAGGGGGTGGGGGAGGGACCTAGAGGAGAGGAAAGGCTGGTCTCAGGGAGGCAGGGATCACTGCTCGGAGCCAGATTTCCTGCCTTGGGAGCAGCCGGCAGCTTTCTCCCCCCTTCCCCCATCTCCGCTCAGCCCATCGCCACCTGGGCCCCTCAGGCACTCGGGAGCCACGGATGGAATCGGATGGCCGATTCCAGCAGAGGCTGGCCTTCCGCTCCTGCAGGCCCTTGGGCTCCCACTTAGCGCAGACCTTGAGCTTCCCTGTCCCCCACTGCCCACCGGCCCTTTCCAGGCTGCCCTTCACACCGATGCCAGTTTTGTCTCTAAAATATCTGTGGGACCCCATCACTTTCTACTTTAGAGCAGTCAGGGACTCCCCGTGGCCCATAAGCTGAAATTCAAACGTTTCCTCATGCCTTTCAAGGCCTTTTAAACTCAGGCTTCAACCCACTGTGCCAACTTCACCTCTTCCCCGTCCCGTGGGCCAACCAGACAGTTACCCTCTAGTCCCATCTGAGCCAGCCGCCTGGCTGCTTCCATACCTTGGACTTGCTCTCCTGTGTGCCCTGCCTTTCCTTCCCATCTCTCCCTAACTCACCAAGCACCGGCTCAAAAGTCGGTGGGAGGAGCCAATCCTTTATTCCTCGTGTACTCACAGCACCCTGTGCGTGGCGCCCGTGGAACTAATACTCCATTTGTGGCAATAACTCATTTATGGGGTCTCCCCAGTGGGCTGGGACTTCCCCAGGGCAGAATGCCCAGCACAGTAGGCAGAAACCTACCGGGGCCACGCTCCCAGCAGCCACTGAGCACTGAGCTCCCCGCCTCCCCTCGTCCATCAGGCGCCTCCTTTCTGACTTGTACGCCATCCCGGACTCTCATGTTTCCCACCATTTTCTATTGTTATCTAGGGCAGTTTTTCTCCACATTTTCTGAGTAAATGATCAAATCTGCAGATAAAGAATATTTTTCTTTCCCTTCCCACTATGTGTCCTTCTCAGTCGTGTCCCATTTCCTTGCCTGGGGCCTCCAGGTAACGATGAGTAGCAGTGATGGTAGTGGGCATCTCGCCTTGCTCTGACCTTCCTAGAAATCCTTCTGACGCTCTGCCATGCTCTATGGTGTGCAGACACGCACGCTGGCTCGTGAGAGCTAACACGTAGCTTTTCGGGAATTTTGTGAGCTGGTTGTTAAACTGCTGGTGGCTGGAAATCGGCATCGCAGGGGCATTTACACCACAGAAATGGGCAAACACTACAAGCTGGAGTTTCCCCCGCCATTCGTTATTTACCTTCACCAGCCCACCACTGCCATTAGCTTTCCTTATTTTCAATACCCCAACCGCCGTCAGAGAGGCCCGCAGGGTCTGATACAGAAGGGTAATACAATGAAAACAGTAGAGCTCAAACGTAGGATTAGAATAAAGACCCATGGATGAGGGGGCTCTGGCCGTGGGGATGGGCCTGGGTGGGATGGGTCCCAGCTCTGGGGCCAGGAGAG